GTGATAGCAATAACTCATATGTCTATAGTACTTTAAGTGTCTAAGGCCATAGATTCAGACCTAGAAAGGACTTTGGAGGTTTTCTAGTCCAATATCCTCTTTTTATAGGCAAGGAAACAGAGTGTCAGAGAAGTTAAGAGATTTGCCAAGGTTGCTCAAATCACATGTCGGAGCTGAAATCAACCCAGGACCTTGATCTTCTGAACTGGTGTTCTTTCTATGGATTCATACTGGCTTCCACATTTACAAAGTACTTTATTTATAACAGTTCTGTGAGGTAGGTAGCCCGAGGATTATCATTCCCATTTCACAGATGGAGAAACTGAGATTCTATACTTGAAAGTGGCTTCCTTGCTCAGGGTCATGACAGCTTGTGAGCAGCATAATCAGAGCGTGAATTCAGGTATCCTAATTTCAAGTCCAGTGACCTTTCTGTAAAATCACAGCACCTCTTCTTCATTTGTAAAACCCAGATAATCATTGACAGCCAATAAGCGTGGTAGATTAGGAAAGAAAAAAAAAACCTGGAGTGAAGAGATCTCTAAATTCCAATATTAGTTTAATAGGTGTGTAACCTGGGGCAAGTCCCTGTGTAAACCTTAAAGTATGATGGGAAGCATGAGCTATTTAATGTGTATATTTCAAAGCTTCCCTGATAGAAGCTTATTCAAAGCCTGTCTATTATTCATCTTTTTACTCTTTAGATTGCCAGGTCATTTTTGTAGAAGGTACTTAATAAATACACATTGATAGATTAATTACATTTTCTTCCGTGCTACTTAATAAATATTTATTAATCACTCATTTGCCCAGATTGATGCTACATGCCCTGGAGGTAACAGAAGGCACAGACAAACTCCTTGCTCTCAGAATATTACTAGTCTGGCTGAGGTGATAAATAATAATCATTATAATGACAACAATAATGATGATGATGATGATAATAATAATAATAGTGATAATGATAATAACTGGCATTTATATAGCATTAAGTTTCACAAAGCATACATATTATCTTATTTGATCCTCACAACAACTCTGGGAGATAGGTGCTGTTATTATGCCCATTTTACAGATTAGGAAACTGAGACAGACAGAGGTTAAATGACTTGCCCAGGTTCACATAGCTAGTCAGTGTTTGAAACAGAATTTGAACTCAGATCATCCTGGCTCCAGGTCCAATGAAATACAACTCACACAAAGTGAATTTGAGAACAAAGGTATCAGAGTGGGAAATCTGAGTCCAGGCTCTTGCACCAACTTGCATTGTGACCTTTGGGATGGTCCTTTTTTTCTTTGGGCCTCAATTTTCTCATCAACAGAATGGGAGAGTAGGAGTTGTGATTACAAGGACTTTTTCAGCTTGAATGCTCTATGGTGCTATGATATGAATGCCAAAGGAAATGTGTTTACAAGAGTAGGATTATGCAAATCGGCATGTGTACCTAAGTGCTGCTGGTAATTTCAGTAAAAAAAAAAATGTTCAGAGAAGAGTGGAATTTGTTGGAGAAAGCTTTTTGGAGGAGATGTGTTGAGATGTAAAATTCCTTTCTACCTACCTTTTTCCCTGGCCCTCTCCATTCCTTTTTTAAGCCTGACCTCCTCATCTAAAGGAAGCTAGGTTGAATAGAGCATTGGACCCAGAGTCAGGAAGACCTCAGTTCAGCCTCAGATACTTACAATGTGTGACCCTGGAAAAGCCACTTAACCTCTGTATGCCTCAGTTTTTTCACCTGTAAAATGGGGATAATAGTGGCATCTACCTTCCAGTGTTGTTGTGAAGATGACATGAAATAGCATGTGTAAAGTGCTTTGCAAACTTTAAACTGCTGTATAGAAATGCTAGCTATTATTATTATCATTTTTTTAGGCAATTGGGGTCAAGCGACTTGCCCAGGGTCACATAGCTAGTAAGTGTCAAGCATTTGGGCTGAGGCTGGATTTGAACTCAGGTCCTCCTGACTTCAGGGCTAGTGCTCTATCCACTGCACCACCTAGCTGCTCCCGTGTTAGCTATTATTACTAATATTATTATTATCTGTGATATGAGAAGGGTTTGCTTCTATGATCTTTAAATTCTCTTTCAATTATAACAATCATATAGGATTCAGAGTCAGAAAGCCGGGGTTCAAATTGCCCCAGATGTGATACTTCTATTAGAGTGGCCCTGTCTAGGTCACTTCCCACGTGTAAGATGGGGAGAGGGTTAGATCAGAAGGGCTCTTAAGTCTCTTCCAGATGTAAATTGTAGGCTCATGGCTTGGGCCCTAACTACATGTATTTTATACATTAGGTGTATTTTCTTGACTCTTACAAAGTCTTTATCCTAGACTTATTATGTTTGTGTACCTCTCATCTGAGTGTGTGTGTGTGTGTGTGTGTGTGTGTGTGTTGTGTGTGTGTGTGTATAACAGCCTGTTTGGTGCAAAGGAGTCAGTTCATGGTCACAAGAACTTTTTTTTTTAAACAGCCTTGTGGTTTCACTGGTATAGGGAATTACCTGTTCAAATGTAGACCTGCATTACCCCTGTTTTTCCCCCCTCAATTGCCAATTGTCACCACAAAAAGAATTGCTATATTGTACAAATGGGTCTTTTCCCCTTTTCTTTTCTTTCTTTGGGATACAGACCTAGTAGTGGTATTGCTGGAACCAAGGGCATACTCAGTTTTATAACCCTTTGGGTGTAGCAACAAGTTGTTCTCCAGAATGGTTGGATTAGTTCACAACTCCACTAACAGTGCGTTAGTGTCCCAATTTTTCCACAATCCCCTCCAACAAATGTCATTTTCCTTTTCTTTCATATTAGCCAATCTGATAGGTGTGAGGTGTTATCTCAGTTGGTTTAATTCCATTTCTCTAATCAGCAATTATTTAGAATGTTTTTTTCATGCGACTGTTGATAGTTTTGATTTCTTCTTCTAAAAATGGCCTGTCAACATCCTTTGACCATTTATCAACTGGGGGATGACTCTTATTTTTAGAAATTTGGCTCAGTCCCCTTATCAGAGAAACTTGCCGTAAATCCCTCCTCCCCCAGTTTTCTGTTTTCCTTCTAATTCTGTCTACATTAGTTTTGTTTGTGCAAAGGCTTTTTAATTTCATATAATCAAAATTATCCATTTTATTTCTTGTGATCTCTCTATCTCTTGTTTGGTCATAAATCCTTCCCTTATCTATAGATCTGATAGGTGCATTTTCCCATGCTCCCCTAATTTACTTATATAACCCTTTATGTCTAAATCATTTATCCATTTTGAACTTATCTTGGTATACTACGTGAGATGTTGCAGACCTGCAGTTTTTCTGCAATTTATAATCTTAGAGAGTTGAGTGGGGCACCCAGAAGTGATTTGCTCAGGATCTCACGACCAATATGTATCCTAGCCAGGACTTGAACTCAGGCCTTGCTGACTCCGTGGGTGGTCCTCTAGCTCCTCTGCAAGGCTGCTTCTTGTGGCATTAACCAGGCACGTCAAAGGAGGAGCATGGAAAAGCAAGCAGGTGCCTGAAAATGGAAAAAAAAAGAGAGAAACTGCCAAGGGTTTATGTGCAGTAATATGAAGGAGAAGGCGAGCTGGGATGCCTGAGTTCTAGGCTTAATTTTGATATGATCTGGGAGCCTGGGGTAAGCTGTGATCATTTCCCCATCTCTTGGTCTCAGTTTCCCTACCTGTGAAATGGAAACAAGGAACCCAGCCCTGCCTCTTTTCCAGGGGTCTGAGGGGATGCCTGAAAGTGCTCAAAGTATCAAGTGATATGCAGATGCCAGGGATGTTTGTTGGAAGCTTTACCCAAATCTTCTCTCCAAGGCCTTTTGCCATATATCTCAGTACTCCTCCCTGAAGAGGTAAGGGCGATACAGGGAAAACCGCCATTGGTCTCAGTCCCTGGGGGAATCCCATGGGATCTGACAGGGGTTGCATCTCTTTACTAAGGCAGGAGGAGACATAGAAAGCATTGCAGCGGGCACAGAGAAACCTGAGGGGAAAATCTCACTGTTGCTATGGTGATGGGACATCCTCAACAGGAGCAAATCCTTCAAAGAGATCCAGGTCCCCACTCCCCAGTATGAGCTCCTGGCGGAGTATCTAGAGGCTTGTGCTGTCCTGAGAATTACTGAGACAAACCCGACAGATTAGTAGACTAAGGGTATGGGGTGTGTATGTGTGTGTGTGTGTGTGTGTGTGTGTACCTGTGTGTTTGGGGGTGCTGGTAGTCCCTTAAAACTCTTTAATCTGGTCCCAGACTGAGCCTTGGTCCTGAGTCTGGTCTCAGGCTGAAACCCTGGCCCTGACCCTAGTCTAAGCATTCATTCCAGTCTTAGACAGAACCCTGACCCAGGATCCTTCCTGAACCCTGACCCTGCATTCAGACTGATCCCTAATTCTGGTCATAGATCAAACTCTAACCCTGCCCCCAGCCTGAGCCCTAACTATGGACCCAGCTCAAGGCCTCACCCTAGCCATAGACAGACTCCTAACTATGAACCTAGACCTAGCTCTAACCCTCAGGCCTAACCTTACAGACTTTTAGTGGATATGGTAGGATTCCATACTTGTCTCTTTCACCCATTTCTTGTCATTGAATTTTAATGAAAGACATAAACTCAAAGAAATGAATTTCTAATAGAATTTCAGGTACCCTGACAGGTCTTGGTGGCAGAGGAACATCCTTGGTTTCTTTTAAGCCACGGGTGGCAGCCAAGCCTGCACTTGCATGAAGACCTCTATTCTAATTCTGGATTGCTCATTGTTTTGCTGTGTGACCTTAAGCAAGTTAATGCCCATCTCTGGGCCCTGTTTTCTTAATCTCTAAAATTAGAGGAGTTGTATTAGAAGACGTCTAAGGTTGGACATTCTAGGTTCTAGGTCCTTTCCAGGTGTGATATTCTATAGTCTGTTTTAAGTTATTTTTTTCAGCTATAATATGCTACGTTCTATATTGTAAGGCCCCTTCAGCTCTGTCATTCTATCTTGTTTGTCTTCGTGTCTCTTTCCAGTTCTGACAGTCAGCGACTGCCGACAGCTCCAGCTTGGGAAGGAAGCTGCCTGGAGGCACGTCAACCGGGTTCATCTCCCCAGCCTCCAGTAGATGTCACTGGCAGCCTTCAGAGCGATCCCAGCCTGAGCAGATTAACCAGAGATGAGAGATCCTGGAGTGGGTGGGACAGTGCTGGGTGCATAAGCGAGGGATCAGACACTGCAGGTCTAGTCCTCTCTCTATCCCTAGGTGGTATTCGAGTCCTTTTCACACTCCTCTGGAAAGACAGAAGGAAAGGATGGCAGGGGGACAGGATGAGGAATGGGCTGCGGCTACAGCTTCACCGAGTGTGGAAACATATGGCTTTGGTAAGGAGAGAGTCCAGGCTTTGAGAAAGTCCTTGCCCCTCAGTCAGCCCTCAGGCAGCCCCCTCCCCCAACCCCAATAGGGATTAGGATAGAAAAGGGAATAGAACGGCATCCATTTGGTACAGTGGACGAGACTGCAGGCTAGTATCAAAGTACCAGGGTTCTAGTCCCATCCTGCCATTAACTTGCTATGTGACCTTGGGCAAAGTCATATGCTCTTTAGACCTTAATTTTCCCTTCTGTAAAAGGAGGGGATTAGCCTTCTGGGTAGCCAAGATCTCTTTCATTTCTCTTCTTGTTGTTTTTGTTTATATGGGTATCTAGGCTTTTTACCCGCTCTCCTACCCGACTTTTGATCCCAGCACGTGATCATTTCTCCTACAAGATGGGGTGCAACAAAGCAGTCCTTTTCTTCTAGAAGCTTGAATCTGAGGCTGAGGAAGGAGGCAGAGGTGTGTATGGGGAGGAAGGGGAGGTTGTCAGCTGGACTCCTTGAGGGGGGACATATAGAGGGTCCACGACAGAGCCCCAGTAATGAGAGGATGTGATCTGGATGAGGAACCAGCAAGGGAGACTGAGAAGCAGTCAGAAAGGTAGGAAGAGAACCAGGAGAGAGGGTGCCCCAAAAACCTAGAGGGGAGACAGTCTCAAGGAGGAGAGGGCAATCAACAGTAAACAACAGAAATTGGGATCGTGGGATATAGAGAAGGAACTTTAGAGGTCCTCTAACCTCAGTTTCTCATTTTATAGAAGAGGAAACTGGAGCCCAGAGAGGTCAAGAGGTTTTTCCTAGACCCCACAGCTGATAAATTACAGAGATGGGATTACAACTGCCATTTTTTGGGGGGGAGGAGGGGAAGAAAACAAACATTTATTAAGTGCTTACTATGTGCCAGGCACTGTGCTAAATACTTCATAAAAATTTTCTCATTTGATGGTCACAACAACCTTGGCAGGTAGGTGCTAATGGCATCCCATCAGCTGAGGTAGATGGAGTTTAAGTGACTTGTCCAAAGTCACTCAGCTAGTGAGTGTTTGAGGTCAAATTTGAATTCAGATTTTCCTGACTTCAGGGCAAGCCCTCAATCCACAGAGGCTACCTAGCAGTCTCTGAAATAGCAACAGCTTATTCTAATTTTGAAATAACACAATAACAGCTCACCTTTGAATCTTGGCTTTCCTTATAATAGTCCTATACAGGAGGAGGAATTGGTCTCTGACAAACTGATTTCTCTCAGCCAGCATGTATTTACAAATGATGGTTCATTAAAAGTGCTAATCTGTTAGCAAGGTGATCTCTGTACCAAGTAGAAACACCATGCTCTGATGGAATTAGAGAAGGCGTTACACCTTTTTTTCCCCTTACAGATGAACAAACTGAGACTTGCAGGTCCAGTGACTTACCTAAGATCACAAAGCTAGTACCACAGTCAGGATTGGAACCCAGATGTCTAGACTTCAAATCCCATGCTCTTTTAACCACCTCCTACATGAGTGGGTGTCCAATCTTTCTTTCTAGATTTTGAGTTTCCAGAGGTCAAGGACTAGTTCTTCTATCTGCCTTCATCGTTTTTCCTTCCCTGCCACCAGGACTGGATTCTGAGGCTGAGCCTAGAAGCCTCGATAAGAGTAAATGTGTGCTGAGTGGTTGATTGATGTCTAGACCTTGTGGTCAAAGCTCTTACCCTCTAATACACATATAATTATGATAGGAGGGGAGAGGGAGATAAATGCGAAGGAATCCGGGCAAAGTCTTAGGAGAATGCTGAGGAGGGAGAGATCTCTTTGACCTAGGTCATATCTGTCTTTGTTTCTCCAGCCTTGAGCATGGTGCTTTGGTTCCAACTTGACATTTAATGAGTGTTTGTTTAAGGGAATTGAAAAATGTCTTAACAATTAGAGCTGTCCTATAGTGATGGCTCCCTCAAGAGGTAGTGAGTTCCTGTCACCGCATTTCAGAGTTCACCGTCACTTGTCAAGGACCTTGGGAAGGGGAGTCCTGCTCAGGACTAGATGATGGGGTCCCTCTTAGCTCTGATATCTCATTAATCAATAAACCATCAATAAGTATCTATCTGTTAAGCACTTGCGACATGTCAGGCATTGTACTAAGTGTTGGGGATATAAAGAAAGGCTAAAAATCAGTCTCTGACCTTCAGAAGATTACACTCCAATGGGACAGACAACATGTAAATAAAAGGGGACATACAAGTATTTTGTTGTTCTATTGTGTACAACTCTTCTTGACCCCATTTGGGATTTTCTGGGCAAAGATACTTGAGCGGTTTGTTATTTCCCTCTCCAGCTCATTTTACAAATGAGGAAACTGAGGGAAACAGAGTGAAGTAACCTGCCCAGGGTCATACAGCTAGTAAGTATCTGAGGCCAAATTTGAACTCAGGAAGATGAGTATTCCTGATTCCAAGCTCTATCCACCATGGCACCTAGCTGTCTACATAGAGTATATGGGAGGTCATCCCAGAAGGGAAGGCAACTGAGGGGTTGGAAAGACCTTCTGAAAGTTGGATTTGAACGGAATCTTGAAGGAAGTCAGGGACGCCAAGATGTCAAAGTGAGGAGGGTGAGCATTTGAGACATGGGGGACAGTCAGTGCTAAGGCCCAAAGATGAAGGATGGAGTGTCATTATTCTAAGGACATCAGAGCATCTCGATCTGTTATGGATTCCACCTCCATGCTATCTTTCATTCATCCCTTACTCTCCACTTCTCCAGCTACCACTCTACTTCAGGGCATAAACACCTTTCATCTGGGCTATTGCATTGGCCTTCTGTTTGGTTTCCTAGGCTGATCTCCCCTTTCTCCAATCCACTCTCCAAAGAGCTATCAAACTGATTTTCCTAAATCACAGGTCTGACCACATCACTCCCTTGCTTAATAAATCTCTGTGATTCCCTATTGCCTCCAGAGTCAAGTATAACCTCCTTCATTTGGCTCCCATATTCCTTTTCAAACTTACTGTATGTTTTTCTCCTTCATGTACTCCATGATCCACCCAAGCTAGCATTCTTGCTATGTCTCCTATGTGACATTCCATCTTTTTTCTCCATAGCTTCAAATAGCTCCCTGGTCCCCATTTGGAGTACAGGCTTTTCTGCCTTGTGTAAGCCCAGGTTTCCTTCAAAGATCAGCTCAGACATTACCTTTTGCAGAAAGACTTCCAGATGCTCCCAGATACTATTGCTTTTACCCTCCAAATCTCCTTGTATTTACAGTATTAATACTTTATTGTTTATGTATATATAAATATACACATATGTGGATATATATTATATGCATAAATATACACTTTATATGTTTGTACTTTATTTTTTAAATTCATGTTGAATCCCCTGATAGAATACAAACTGTCTGAGGACAAAGGTCATTTTATTTTTATATTTGTATTCCCAGTGCTTAGCACAGTGCCTGGAACACAGTAGGCACTTATTAAGTGCTTGTTGATTGACTGATTGATCTATCAACTCTTTGCTTTTCACCTCAAAATATGTTTTGGTCTCCCTAATCCTTTCTTTTTTCTTTCTTTCTTTTTTTTTTAGCTAGGCGATGGGGTTAAGTGACTTGCCCAGGGTCACACAGCTAGTAAGTGTTATGTGTCTGAGGCCAGATTTGAACTCAGGTCCTCCTGACTTCAGGGCCGGTGCTCTATCCACCGTGCCACCTAGCTTCCCCTGGTCTCCCTAATCCTTGAAAAAAAAAGAAAGCTTTTTCTTCTGCTCTTGTCACATCTCTCTCCTCCCATTCATGGCTAAACTTCTTGAAAATGATGTCTGTAGTAGATACTACCAATCTTTCAATCACTCTCTCTGTTCTTCAGTTCCTGATAATCCCACTCCTGTCCCTACAGCGCTACTGACAGTGATCTCTCCAAGTTTACTTAATGAGGTAGAGCCATAGAATCCTAGGTTCCTAGATCTAGAAGGGACCTGAAAGGACCACCTAGTCCCACCTGTACCTGAACAAGAGTTCCCTCCATGCACTGTCTCAGACAAATGAAGACCTTAAGTGATGTCAAAGCCACCAATTCCCAAGGTTTCTCTTCCTCATCTCTATCACTGATTGTCTCCTGGGTATTAGTGAATGTTCTGTTTTTCCCTTCTCTTCCCTCTTACTTTCTATGGGTATCTGATTTGGAAGCTGTGTCTGGGGACCCTTCTTCCTCCTCATCTTGTAGTTTAAAGTTCTTTTAATCAGATAAGCGAGTTTGCAAGCAAATACATTCTTCCTTGGACCTCTTTTGGTGTACTCCACGCTGAGTCAAGAGCCTGACATTTCCGTCTTGGTCCTAGGTCTAGAAAGCCAATCTCATTCTCTGAAAACGTTTTAGTCAGTTGTCCCCTATTTGTTTTTTATTTTATTGATTTTTCTTTCTCTACCTCCCTTAGAATTCCACTCAAAGTCCTCCTGATCTGTTAGGTCATTGAGCTTCATGCCAATTTTATTTCTTCTCCACCTTGAGAGTTGTCCTCCATTCTTTGTAAGGAATTCATCTTTTTTTATTTGTCTTTTTCTTTTTTTTTTTAGGCAATGGGGGTTATGTGACTTGCCCAGGGTCACACAGCTAGTAAGTGACAAGTGTTTGGTCTGAGACCGGATTTGAACTCAGGTCCTCCTGACTTCAGGGCCGGTGCTCTATCCACTGCGCCACCTAGCTGCCCCAGGAATTCATCTTTCTGAAATTAAAAACCAGGATATAGGAATCAAACCCTTTTCCTTAAAACCATCTATGAAATTAATGATTCACTTCTTATGCTGTGTTTTTATTTTTCAAAATAAGGAAAAAGGGGCCCAGGCTAAAAGCTTCAGTTTCCTGACCTTCCAAATCAGTAAATTCAATGGGCTTTTCTCAGTTCTCATCCTCCACAAGACTGTTAGCTTCCTCCACTTAGTGATCATGCCTTATCTCTACTTTGTATTTGTCTACAATTCTGGGAACTGAGCTCTGTAAATATTGGACCCCCAAATAAATGTTTGTTGACTTAAATTGAACCAAACACCTTGGGTTTGGGTCCTGGCTTTGTAGCTAATTTATGTGTGATCTTAGTTCTCTATGAAAGGAGGGGATTGTACTTGATTAGCTCTTAGGTCTGTTTTATCCCTGAAATTCTCTTGATTTTCTTTCCTAGCTCTTCTGCAGTCTGTTTCCATCTTCCCAAATCAGGAGCAACCAGTCAGGTAAATAAGAAATGTCTTTAGAAATACTTATAAATGTCTGTTGGCTCCTTTTCTTCTTGGTGGGGGTCGGCAGGGGGCAAGATGTATAATCCTAGCATGACGGTAAATAAGAAATGTCTTTAGAAATACTTATAAATGTCTGTTGGCTCCTTTTCTTCTTGGTGGGGGTCGGCAGGGGGCAAGATGTATAATCCTAGCATGACTAATAGCCTTATCTACCTGAGAGAGATTGGCTCCTCTGAAAAGCTCTGAGACTCCTCCTTCCCCTTCCCAATGTTGTTTCGTAATTTTTCACCGCCAAAAAAATAATAATACAAGGCTTTTCTATTCCACTCTCTGGAAATGAGACTTTAAAAATAACTCAAAGGTGGTCAGCAGGCAAGACAAGGGATTATGAAGTGAGAATGCTGCCAGTGTAGCTGGGGAAGCATGGAACAATTAGCATGATTGGAGGCCTTGTGTTGTTTTGGAGGATCTGTACTTGGAGTCAGAAGACCTGAGTTTGAGTTTCAACAGTATGACCTTGGGCAAATCACTTCATTACTTTTATTTCCTCATAAAGGGTTTTCCTAAGTAAATTCCTTTCTAAACCATAAAGCTGTAGTGAAATGCGAGGTTTTGCTATTGTAATGTTAGTTGAACAGGAGAAGGGCTTAGTGTATGGAAAGCTTGGCTTGATGGTCAGTCCTGCCTCTGACATCTCCTTGGGCAGTCTCTTAAGCTCTCAATGCTTAAGGCAAGTCTCTGAAACCATAGAATACCAAGGTTATTGATTTGGAGCTGGAAGAGACCCTAGAGGTCATCTAGTCCAATCCGTTCATTGTAGATAAGGAAACTGAGGCCCAGGGAGAGAGGGGATGGGTCTTGCTTAAGGTCACATATATATTAAGTAACAGTTGGGGCTGGAACCCAAGTCCTATGCTTCCCAAAGTGGTGCTCTTCCCGTGGAAATGACATACCCACCCTCCTTGGAAGAGATTCTGGACTCTTGAAGATCATGTCAGCAGAGGAGAAGCCCTAACAGGTCCCACCAAGCTAGAAGGGCTTCTGGTCCAGGTCCAGGAATGGCCTGTGCTATTCTTATAGGACAGAATAGCAAGCAAAGGCCAGTGCTCTAGGCTCCTAGGGGTGGATCTGGAGTCGGAGGACAAGGGATTAAATCCTGCCCCAGATGTTCATTAGCTCTGTGACTCTAGACAAGTCAATTCACCTGCTGGGCTTCAGTTTTCTCATCTGTAAAATAAGGGGTTTAGACTTGTTGGTTTCTGAGTTCTGGCCCTAGATCTGATTCTTATCTAATTCCATGGGATTGGAGCAGGGGATGAAGTGAGAGGTCAGGGAAGGCTTCCTGGAGGAGCTGAGCCTTAAAGGATGGGAGGATTTGGAGAAGTAGTGAGGTGGGAGAGAGGCAGGTATTAGCTTTGTTTCTTAGCATGGTTAATGTCTCTTTAACTGTAGAGTTCTCTTTCAGCTTTGGCTCAGAATTCCCTTCCACCCTCGTCTCCAGGGTGCCCAGGTAAACAGGGCTTCCCCCCCAAGCACCCCACCCCCAAGAGGCTTCTGCCTGTCTACATGGCCTCTCCCTGTTCTGGAGACCCTGGCCCTGGCCGGCTGCCCCCACCTCCCACCACTTCGGGTGTGACAGGTCTTTAGGAAGGATGGGCACATTGGGAATGGGTGTGGGAGGGATAGAACCGTGGTGTTACAGATCATTTAATTGGGAAGGGACTTTAGAGACCAACTGGCCCAATTGGCTCATCTTACAGAGGACCTGGGAGGGCAGGTGCCTCATTGAAAATTACCCAGCCAGTCAGTGGAAGGAGAAATGAGGAAGGAGAGAGGAGGAAAGGAAAATAGGAAGCTGAGAAGCAGGACCACCTCTGGACAGCATTGTGCAGACAGCAAAGTCAGTATCTTATCTCCTAAAGACCAGGCTCCCAACTTGCCCTCCTTAGAGATACTGATCCACCCTGATGTGCTAACCGGGAGAGGACTAGAGTGGCTGCTTTAACTTCTCTCCCAGCTCAGGCCCTCCCTCCCCTTCCAAGGAACACACCTGCATTGTCAAGGGCCTTCTGGAGACAACACTGGATTTGGAATCAGAAGACAGGGGTTTGAATCCTGGCTCTGAATTCTTACTCCATGTGTAGTAAGTAACTCCACCTTTCCAGGATTCAGTTTCCTTGTTTCTAAAACGAAGGCCTTGGATGAGGTGACCTCTTCCTGATTCTCTCTGATCCCAGGCATGGTGGTGGCAGTGGCAGGTTAGAACAGCATTGGGGTGGGGGTGGCTGGGCAGTGGGGAGCATACATTGAAGTGGGGGGCCTAAGGGGTGGTCATGACCTCACATCAGATTGTGTAGGGTAATCACCCCCTGGGGGTGGAGCCGGGCTCTGGCTAGAAGAGTCTGAGGAACTGGCCTAGGAGAGCAGACTTGGGAGGCCTTGGGGTAGAGTTGAGGGCCGGGAAGAGAGAGGGGTTCTTGGAGAGTATGGAGATGGGATATGGGAGGTTAAAGCACAGCTAGACATTGGCATAGCTCTAGCAGCTATTGAAATGGAAGTGTAACAAAGTGGTTAGAGCCCTGGCCTTGGATTCAGGGGATCTCTGTTCAAGCTTAGGTTCTCACACTTCCTAGCCGGGAAGCCATGGGAAAAACATTTTGTCCTTTTCAGCCTCAGTTTCCTCATCTGTAAAACAGGGATGGCAATACTCCTTTCCTACTTCTTAGATGGTTCTGAGGAAAGCATTTTAAAAGAACGTGTAATAGAAATGTGGTGCTTTCCTTCAACCCAATTTCATCTGGGCAACATTCCCATGAAGTGATCGGAGAGCCATCATATTCCTCTGCCATTTTACAGAGGAAGAAACTAAGGTGGAGAGACTTGCCCAAGGTCATACAGCTGGTGGCAGAGTCTGGCTATGAACCCCAGTCTCTCAGCTCTTAGTTCAGTGATCTTTCCCCTGCACCACACTGCCTCTCCCTTCAGCCTACTGCTTCAGATGGGGATGATCATCTCTGTCCTTGCAGCAAGGATCACATGAAGTCCTGGATGAGAGAGCACTTAGATGGGGTAGTGAAAAGAGCCCTGAATGTGGAGTCAGAGGACCCACGTGTGAATCTTGGCTCTGTGTGAATCTACTAACTGTGTGACCTTGGGTAAGTCACTTTCCCTTTTTTGACCTCAGTTTCCTTTTCTGTAAAATGAGAGGGTTTAGCATGATGATCTCTAAAGGTTCCTTCCAGCTCTGAATCCTATGAAAGTGTAACATTCTGTAATGGGTATGAGGTTTTAGAAATCAATAGCTTTCCCCTTCCTGGCCGACCCTCAGCTCTCCACCCCATGCTTCCTTCAGGTCCTGCTGCCCCCCAAGAACCCCCGTTCCCGGATATTTATGGTGGTGATGCCCAGCTCTGGGAGGCTCACTTCCGTGGGATTGGTCGAGCCTACCGGGCACTGGGCAAGGAGGACGACTTTGCCATCCGGGTGCTGACTGAGGACTTTACACTCCCCTTCCCTTACGCCTGGCCACCTGGACCTGACCCTGCCCGGGGTCCTCTCTTCTATGACCCCCAAGACCGGACGGGCTTTGACTTCCTCCTGCGGCCTGGGGCACCCCCGCCTGCCTTGCTCCGTCCTCTCCATGCAACGGCCCAAGCCTTACTTCGAAAGCGGCGACTGGAACAGCTGGCTTTGAGCTATGCCAACTCAGGCAGTGGTGCCACCCCACACCCCGGAGTGGTCCTCCTGGCCCCAGCCCCAGGGCCCAGTAAATTCCCTACCCCAGGACTCCCAGACGGGAAAGGGGCCAGGCCTGGACCCCCACTGGTCTAAGTCAAAGCACCATGTAGCAAAGGCATTTCCTGACTTGCTGTAGTGTCTTCTGGAAAATGAATAAATATTTTGCCCTTCATACTGTGTCCTGGAGCTCTTCTTAGATTTCAGAACTTTAGGGGTATGTGAGAACAAAGATTATCAGAGGTGGCTGGGGCCTTGGAACATAGGGAAGCATAGAACTTAGAATGTCTGAGGTGGAAGGTAAGCAGAGAATGTTAGAGCTGGAAAACACCTTAGAGACCATCTCGTCTAACTTCCTCCTTTGACAGATAAGGAAACTGAGGACAGGCAAAGAGACTTGCCCACCCTCCACCAGGAAGCAAGCAGCAGAACCAGGATTCGAACCTAGGTTCTCTGACTCTAAACTACATCATTTTGCCTCTTAAGTGTTCCTTTGCTATTGAGATCACACGCTGGTCTGTCTGTCAGGCACCATATCTGCCGACTACATAAGTTGTTCCATGGCACCATAGACAGTTCATGGGGGCATAGCTGGTAAAGACTTTAGAAATCTTGTACACTAACCCCTCTCCCCCTCATCACCTTCCATCACAGCTACAGGAAACCCTAGATAGTATCTTCAGCATCTCCAGCATCTGCTCGATCACTTCCAGTGACAGGGAGGTCATTACCACTCGAGGTAGCCCATCTGGTTGAGGAACTGCTCTGAGTTTCACCAAGTTTTTCCTTATGTTGAAGCAAAATTTATTTTCCTGAACCCTATCTCTGTCCCTCTTCCTGCCTAACCTCCAAGAAGTAATTCTGCCCTTGAGCCTCAGCATCAATTTGGATCTAAGACTTTCTTGTGCCATACTCTGAGTCTCTGGAATAGTAGAAAGCATACTAGATTTGAAATGAACAGAGACCTGAGTTCAAATTCCAGTCCATATCCTTTTAGGATCATTCTATGTAGAGCTCAAAGCAACCTCAGAGATCGCAGAGTTAAAGAGCTAGAAGGACCTCAGAAGCCACCAAGTCCATCCCATATGTGAGGGAATCCTTGCTGTAATAAGTGGTCACTGAGCTTCTTCTTCCAGACCTCCAAGGAGGGGGAAGCCCCAACCCCCTGGAGGCAACCCATCCCACTCTGAGGCAGCTCTAACTGAGCAAGACTTCCCCTGATATCAAACTTACATTTACCTCATCACAACATCCAGTCACTGCCCCTGGCTCTGCCCTCCAGGGCCAAATGAGTCAGTCTAGTGCCTGCTCCATGTGACAGCCCTTCAAACACCAGACTGTTTAATAGGGTCTGCTTCTTCTACCAGGAAAGCCAGGTTTTAGCAAAGTGAATTGACTTGCCAAAGGTCTCCCAGATAGTTAAGTGGCAGAGACCTGACTGAGCCTCAGTCTACAAAATGGGAACAATAATATTTGCTCTATTCCCAGGTTCAACTTTGTAAAGCTTAAAAATAGGGGTTCTTTAATTCAACTCTGGCCCCTTGCCATCCAGGCTTAGCACAATGTCAATTTGGTTCCTTTTGTGCTCAGATTCCTCTGATTTCTCATTTTTTCCTTCTAAGGGCCCACACTGTTTCTATTTGTCTCTCCTAATTTAATTCTGTTAAGTCCCATTTCTATGTCACTCTCTTCAACAACACTGTGAGCCTTGAAGAGCAAATATTATGCCTATTTTTACAGATAAGAAAATTATACAGAGAAGTGGCTGTCCCTTGTTTTTTTTTAATATCTGTTGGACCATAAGGGAAATGATTGGAAAATGGCTCAATCATTGTAGCTTTTAAAAACTGTTCATTTCCCAGCAGACATAATCAGGTAAGGGGGTATAGAGGGAGAAAGAGGGATAAGTCCCACTCAAGGATCCATTGGTCTGAAGGGGAGACCACTTCCCTTGCCTTTGGGCATTTTGGGGTCTGAGGCATATGACTTGGTCCTCGATCTCAGGAAGTTCTGGAATCACAGGGGAGACAAAGTCTTTCCCTATAAGGCATCCCTGGTCTGAGGGAACACTTGCCTTTGGGGGTTGATGGGAGCATTAGGACTCATTCCAGAACCCTAACAATTCTGGTGCTATCCAATGTACCTCAAGTTAATTCTCAGATCAAGTTTTAAAGATATTCATTGGGGTAGAAAACCTTGAATATCAGGACACTATCAAGGGAAAAGACTCCAGGATCCTGACTATGGAGGGAGTGAGGAGGGGCAGAGGTAGAGACCCTGGGGCACCAAGAAGCCACTGTTTGGGAGGCTCCCACCAGGAGAGAGACTGAAGAGAAGCAGCTCTGGGAAGGAGCTAACCTGGGGCATGGTTTGTTGGGGCAAAGGTGGGTAAGAAAGCTGATGATCCAATTGATTCTTAATTGAACTAATTATTCTTGTTTTGATAGCAAGCTCTGTTATTTTTATCTATTGGCAAGGTCCTCTACATTCCAGTGGCTTAGGGTGGGACTCTAGTCACCCTCCCTAGTTTTGGCTCTGATTCACATAAACTAAAGTGAAAGGAAAACACCCTCCAATACCAACCCTACTGTCCAAAGACAAATATAATCATGCTGAGTAACCTGGGAGGTGGTTAGACTGTAGCATACCCATTAGTTCACTCAGATGCACTAATTGGAGCTAATGGGAGAGGAGTTAGAGACTAAACAGATTAAATTGTTACTCAATTATCTGCATATCTCAGTTCTCCATGGAGCTCTGCAGGAGTACCATCAACCCTCAGGGAAAGCAGCATTTAACCAGTGACCCATGAGAGGGCCCTGCTGGACTGACCATTTCCTGAGCAGGGAAGGAGCATTTTAGGGACATTGACAAACTGTTCAAGGTAGGGTCAGATGGATGGGGAAGAGGATTCTAAACCATGTCCTATGAGGTCCAGTGGAGGGAACATTGTCCTATGAGGTCCAGTGGAGGGAACATTGGGTATTGAACTTAGTGAACAAAAGACTCAGGGACCTTTGATTCGTGTCTTCAGATATTTGAAGGCCTATCATAGGGCAGAGTGGGTTGGTCTGTGCGTCCTCTAAAAGGGACAGCTGAGAGACGTTACGAGGAGACAGAATTTGGCTCAATATAAAGAACTTTCCGATAATCAAGAACTATTCTACAGAACAGTGAATTGTTTCAAAAGGTAGTGAGCTCCCCATTATTGGATATTTTCAAGACACCTGAGATCTTTGGCCAGTTTTGGATAGGCCTTCAAACTCTATTTCCACAGGGGAGATAGCTTCATATTTAAAAGGGAAAGAGGCATATTTATTTGTTCATTCATTTTTAGGCCTTTTTCTTTAGAAGAGAGTGATGAAGGCCTGGGTTATCCATAGATGGAATACAAGGATCCCTTGTGATGAAGTGTAATTCTTTGGTGGAATTTTTTTGATGACATTGGTAATAGAGCAGTGTATTCATCTTTGAATGATTTAAGAGGACTTAGTGATGACAAAGCATCATAGAGGCTAAGCAGTTGGACCAGGAAGGCACTGATTGATTGTATTGGGGTCACCCCTTGGATGGTACATATATCAAAGGAATACTGAGTGTTTTCCTTGCCCACAATGTGACCAAACTAAACCATTGGGTGGGGAACCAAAAGGCTATGAGACTGATAGATCACAGGAATGGCCCAAATATAGCATAATTGAGTGTCAGTATGCATTTGACAAAATTGCTCATGCCATTTTTGTGGACAAAATAGAGAGATTAGACATAGTGTATGCCCAATGTCCATGGTGATGGGGTGCTTGGGAAATGTTGGCTGAATTTCATGGTATTGATGATAGTATAGCTAAGTGGAGATAGAACTGGCCAAATAGATCCAAAGATTAGTACATGGTTGTCAACCAGGAAGGAAGATCTCCCCAGAGATTTACCTTTGGTCCTGCTAAATCCAAAGCATTTATCAGTGATTTGTCTAGTAGTGGTAAGTCACCGTGATGTTGTAATGTACTAGGGAGGAGGATTGTCACTCCTTTTTAAGCTTGATGCCACCCTGGTGTGGGTCAGGCTATTCCTCTCATCCACTTCTTTGGACCCAGGCTTGTCTTTCTCTTCAGACACTCCCTTGGCTCCTTCTTCTCACCCTAGAGGAGTGGTTTCCCTTCCAGACTGAGGAAAACAATGGGAAAGTAAGCAGCAAAGGCGCCATCTCTGTTACCAGCCATAGGTCACCTATCTAACATCTCAGCCAGACCCCTAACTCATTGCCTAGATAGAAATCATGGTATGTGTCCCTTCTGCCTTGGGAAATTGTAAAAAATGAATCAGTGATTCACTTTTCTTCAGTTCCAAGCCTCCAGGTAGAAAAAAACATATCATGCTCTGTCCAAATACTGCAGTTATTAAAATCTTTCTCTCCTCTACCAGAAAGTCCCTTTTGGCCCTTCTCAGCTGCATTTGAGTAATGAAACACATAGGTTAGCAAAGCAATGGTTAACCACATTTATCATAAAAGATTAAGTCAAAAAGAAGGTTAACAAATTTTTAAGAAGTAGAGGTAAGCCTCCTTTCCTCATTAGGAAGATATTAGATTTTGTCATCTCTGGAGAGCAAAAGAGAGAAAGAGAGAGAGAGAGAGAGAGAGAGAGAGAGAGAGAGAGAGAGAGAGAGACAGACAGACAGACAGAAAGAGACAGAGACACAGAGAGAGACAGAGACACACACAGAGAAACACAGAAACACAAATAAAGAGAGGCAGACACAGAGAGAGAGAGACAGAAAGAGAGATAGAGACAGACATATGGAGAGACATTGTGTCCAGAGCAAGGGAGGAGATGGTCCTGGCATCCTCTGCTCTGGTCTAACCACCTCTGGAGCATTGTTTTCGGTTCTGGACACCATATTTTGACAGATCATACTGAATCTGGAGTATGTCCAGCAGAGGAAAATAGAATGATGAGGGCACTGGAAGTTTTGCTATATCCAAGGAAGGACTTAGGAATGTTTAGCCTGGAGAAGCGAAGACTCAGAGAGAAGGCAATTACAAGATCATAAACCTCTGAAGGGCTGTCTTGGGATTGAGTTATTAGGTGAATTATATATGGCCCCAGGGACCAGAATAATGGGGGCAGGAAGGAAATACAGGGGAACTGATTTTAGCCCAGCACAAA